CTTCCTTCCTTCCTTCCTTCTTTCTTTCTTTATTCAAGAAAGGATTTCTCTGTGTAGCCCTGGGTGTCCTGGAAGTCATTCTGTAGACCAGGCTGGTCTCAAACTCATAGAGATCTGCCTGCCTCTGCCTCCCAAGAGATGGGACTAAAGGTGTGTGCCACCACCGCCCCCCCCATCAACAAATCTTATCGCTGCTTTCTTATGGGACTTTCCACATTTTGGGGGTGGGGAGGCTTACAGGAAATGAGCTCTTCCTCTAAGGGTTAAGGAAGTTCCAGATCATTAGAGCTTTGAACCCACATTTCAGATAAGATCTAGCATGTTCAGGGTGGTATAGCCAGAGACTGAGCCCATATTTCAAACCAGTTCTTCCTACCAGGCAAGACTGGTAGACTGACAACCATTGTTTCTATGTCTTTGGTTTTCACAGTCCAAGCCAGGATCCTACCCAATTTCCTTTTTCATATAATCACAGAGTAGGAAGGGAAAGGGAAGGCTGGCCAGAGATAGTCTGTAGTTCTGGCCATGGGCCCCATGCTCAGAGGCCCATTTCTCAGTTCCATTATTTCTCACTTGTCCCATAACTTCTCTCTGCCTTGATCTGGGAAAGTTTTGGTCTGAAAAGGCCCTGTGTTTGCCTCTGAGTCTGCGGTAGCTTCTTGCTTGGCATGGGGGGTGGGGGTGGGTATAGCTAGTTGCTGGCTGCCAGGGTTTTCAGATGGTCCCTAGGCTTATCTGCTGCCTCGAATAACATTTCTTCCTACAGAGTCATAAAGATACCAGTTCCATCAGACTCTGACTTGGACAGAACCTGGGGAGCACCCAGCAGCACTCCATTCTCCCCACCCCGCCGGAGTGCATTCTCATTCTCTATACCTGAAATATAGATCGCTCTTTATCTGTAGGCTGCTTCCTATTGGGCCTGAAGGAGAAGTGGCCGTGGGTACAGTGAAAAAGGCAAAACCTGACATCTGTCCTAGGCCTCTGCCTGACTGCTAATGTGGACAAGAGATCAAACCCAGGTAAGGGGCCATAGGATGTGTAGCCAGGAGATGCCTAGCTCTAAGAGGGACCCCAGGTAGGATCAGCATCCAAGACATGCTAGCTGTACTTCATGTGACTTGTTTTCAAGTGGGGACACAGATGCCTGGAGGTCAAATCCCCTGGGCTTGGATCCTCAGAGTCTGTCAAAGATGCAGGAAGAAGAGCCAGAAAGAGACAAAGATGGAAGGATGGATCTGCAAGGTTACAAAACAAAACAAAAACAAAACAACCCAACAACAACCAGGAAATAGTCCACACCATGAAGGCATTAGAACATCACTCATGATTGACAGTTCCCATATGTCTGAGGACAGGTGAGAAATCTCCCTCCCTCTTGCCCTTTCATAGTAATGGGACAAGGAAACCGAATATACACCCACCCCCTTCCAGGGACAGCTGTGGGTGGGCATCCGCCGCAGGGGGCGGTGCCTAGCTGGGGCAGAAGAGGTGGAAGTTGGTGCGTGTGAACTCGTGGTGGATGCTCTCTAGAAGCGCGTCTGCATCAGGGGCGGGCTCGTGCGCGTTGGGCGGCCGCGGCCGCGCGCTGTATTCCGGGGTGTAGGTGAAAGAGAAGGCGCTGGGGTAGAAGAGCGCATCCGCACGCAGCAGGCTCACGGGCACGGTGATGGGAGTGCGCAGCCAACGCCAGTCGCTACCGAAGGCCGCCACGTCTGGCACCACGCACACCAAGGACCGCGGACTCCTGCGGGTGGGGCATGGAGGATAAGATGGGCAAACATTGCAGCCTCTGGTCCTTGGGGCCAAGCTGTGCCCACCCCGCTACCCTCCGCCCCATCGGTACCTGTACATGGTTTCTGCCTCCACATCTCCAAACCACACCTTGAGCCCAGCGTGGAAATTCTCTCCGTGCAGCTCCAGCGTGGCTACATCACCTCCGCCGCTCAGCTG